GTTGAAAAGTTTTGGTTTCATTCCAGAACTAAATGGATTTCAAAGGTAGAGGAAGTACTTGCACTGAAGTAGTAAATGATAGAAGTTATTTTTGAATTTCCCAGGGACTGATCTTTTGCTGATGCTCTAACGTGGATTTCATCTGGGAATTCCTTAGTAGGTGCCGTAGAAGGATGAGTTGCCCAGAGGATTGCTCTTCATTCTGGCAAACCCCTCTTTCAGAAGCTTTGAACTTTTAGAATAACTCTTTCATAAGTTAACACCTTATCATTTTGAGGTTTGCACTCAATGCACATCTCTGGCAAAATTTGGCCAAATTCAGGTCATCTGGAAATGTGATGCCAGTTTATGCAGTCGTGTGTTGGTTGTAATGCTGACGTTACGAGATAACGGGGGCTGAGGGCTGAAGTGCTGAAGACTTTCCTACTTACGTTCACCATGTCGCAATCTGATTAGCCTGTAAACTGTGTTCGTTTTGCTTATCCCCTATTGCTGGATCACAGATTACAATGAGTTACAGTCCCCTCTTTCTTGATGTTTATTTTTATATTGGCATCCAATATATAACCCTTTCTTAGATTTATTGAATTTGAGTCTTTGTTTTATTTTCATCATGAGAATGAAAAGATCTGCTAGCCCGGGCTTGGCTGCTGAGTACTCAATATCGTGAACAGCAGTGACTGTTTAGTTAAGACCTGAAGATGAAGAGCTGTGCAGAAGTGTTAAGCATTATTATTACAAATTGTCAGCGCATGCTTTTCTCCTCCAAGGCACGTTTAATTGTATAGAGTCACAGTTGTTTTCTCCAAGACACTTGGCCTGAGTTGTGGAAGCGACTGTATTTTTGCTGACAAACTAAACCAAAACCCAAATGCTGTTAATTTTCAGTTTTAACAGCAACAGAAATTGTGCTTGGACTAAATACATAGCACCTAAAATTTGCAAATTGGATGTTGTGAAATAGTTTATCTAGAGCTATTGTGTGACTGTTGAGCTGATAACAAAATATATGTTGGAAACAATTTGGAAGTTCTTGATTCTTATGTTCAATTAACCTGTAGCTAAGAGGGTTAGTGATGACAGGGTTTTCATTGAAATAGGGAGCACTTTGAAGGTCACCAGGGAGGCAGCTATATGTTGTACCTCTGTAGTGACAGTCTTGGCCTGCTACGGGTTTGGCCTACCAGTTATACACCCTTCAGTTTTCTTCCACAGGGGGAAAGGATGCCATTAAGAGTGGTAAACTAAGCGAAAGAAAATGATGGAACTTGAATCCTTGAGTAAGAAAGACTATGATTTTCTAGTAAGGTAATTTTCCAATGTTATTACGGGCTTTACTTAAATTTTGCTCTGAATGATTTCATGTTCAGCAAATAGGAAAATGCAATGCTAATTACAGCTCTGATCCTTTCTTTGGCAATGGAGGTATTTTGTTTGCTCAAGGAATTTTAAAACTTGCTGCCAATTTCTTACTGTTACGTTGCTCCTTGCATTTCTTTCAAACACAAAGTCTGCATCAGTAGCACCACCTAAAAGGATAAAGGATGAATGATGTGCAGTTTTGAGCTGTTGTTATTGTCGTGCTGGTTAAGAATATCTGCTTTTGATGATTTTCAGTATAAGAGTTACCAAATGAACCTTGTGTGTCTGGCACACGAAATGTGAATGGTATAATGTTCCCTGAACCTTTATTCACTGAATTGCCAAAGTCATGCTTTTCAAGAACTTTGTGAACTTAAAGCACTTTAAAGAAATATTCTGAGTTCACAGCAGTGGAGGGCTAATGCCTCTTCTCAAAAAATACGTTGGCTACTGTTATAGGTCAGCATTTGCCAACAGTTTCCACAGGAGATGCCAGTTTGGAGTGGAAACTAAGAAATGGGTTCAGCAAAGCACTTTATCCTGTTCTTGGCTTAAAGCACATGAATAATCCCATTGACTACCCACGTGTGCTTTACTGGGACTGCTCACATAGTGAAAGTTAGGCATGTGTTTAAATAACTTGCTTATTTGGGGGCTCACTGCGTGATGTCTCCTGGCAGAGACTTCATTTTCTTATGGCAGCCATCATATGACCTGTCTGCAGGGAGCGCAGCGTTGTCTGCGCTAGCCATGCAGTCCAAAGAAAAAGGCTATTTCTGTGTCCACCCCCAATCCGTCCTGCGCTTCTCTGGCAACTAATTATCTGTTTGCTGCCAATTGTGCTCTAGTGTTTTTGGCACCCAACCACTCCAACTTGCTGCTCATACAAGTGTTGAATTGCCTTTGTAAGGCAGAGAGTAGTCTCCTCCTTGTTTAAGACTGTATATGTGGTTGTTAAAACATGAAAAAAAAGTAGATCATTGTCATAGCTTTCCTCATTTTGGTCAAATTGTGCTCTGTCAGTAGTCCCACTGAAGTTGATAGAGATGCTAGCAGAGGAGAACCACCATTTTGGAGGTCCAAGCTCAGTACTCAGAGGGGGTAAATGGAGTTTTTTCATCTATTGAGTGTCTAATGGAAGCACTGTTCTTTATTTGAGAACCTCCGTAAACAGATCATCTATGGAAACGGAGCTCTTTCAGCACACAGGGAGGGACAAATTAAATGCTAGGATAGAATCTTCTTCAACCTGGTATTTTGCAACCGTTATCTCTGGTTTGATCCAAAACTGGCCCACCAGCAAAGTAGTACAACTTCAGGTTAAAAATCCATTTAGGTGAGTTTTCCGCCTCTGTCTTCCTCTCCCATCCCCTGCACGCACAAGGCGGCGGATGACCTTGGAGACAGCATTTCCCCGTGCTTGAAAAGGGGCCGGTCACAGGCGGGCAATCGCCACAACCTGCGCACGGCACGTCTCCAGCACTGTCTCCCTTCTGCATATTTTCTCCTCCAGAAATACAATCTCTGCAGTAAGTCGGCAGACCTAGAGCCTGTATATAAAAGCAAGTCAAGCTAATAGAGAGAACTACAGTTGTAGTAGAGAGCAATTAGTTAACGGGACCAGCAAGCCCAGCGCTGCGGTTGGTAATCAGCGGTGCTCCTTCAAACTCAGGATCTCAAACTTTGAGCTTGCTTTACACGTGTCATGGCTGGCTATCTGTTGTTTAGCCTTTGCTAACGACTTCACCAGAGAAGCCTAGGAAACTCCAAACAAAAGGCTGTTAATCGTAACTGAAAGGTAAAATGAAATAGGCTTTTTCAGTGAGTTTAGTAATCCTGGCTGGCAAAGAGCTCTGTTATCTTCAGAAACGCGTGTCCAAGAATATTCTTTAATGTATTGTCATCTTAAATGGAGCACTCTTTTGCTGGAGCTGTGTTGGGGAGAGTGAATGGGATAACGTGTAGTATGAGCCAAACGAAAGATAGTATGAGTAGATTTCTTCACTGGGATGGAAACTTGAATGCTTGCGCAAACAGCGCGGGGGCCCTAAAGTGTTGCTGTAACAGGCTGTAATTTCATGTGTGAGGTATTAAAACAAGTACTATTTTCACAGACTGTTAGTGTTTATGCCTTGAATATGCTTATGAGAGCATTTAAGGTGCTCTAGATTCAGTATCATAGCAATTGTTAGACCTAAACACTGATGAGCTAAGGATTAAACTGAGAAGTGTATTAACAGGCTTTCAGTTAGCTGATGATCAAGTATTTATGAATTAAACAGGAAGTTTATTTCCAAGAAATTCTCATGCATTTTCAGTGGAATACTCGAATCCACAAAAATCCATATGAAGACAGCATAGTGTCTGAATAGTTGATTCATCCTCTGTGTATAAATAAAATGTTTAATAGGCACTCTCCTCACCTAAAGCACAGGACTGAAAGGCAAGGACCTGAGCTGATTTTCTAGCTCTGATAGAGACTTCTTGTATGCTTCTGGGAAATCACTTAGCATCTCTCCTTCTGCAAGCCAGACCCTGTAATGTTTGTCTGCCTTGCAGAGGAGAAGGGGAGGCTGAGGAAAGGAGTGGCTGCAAAACAAGTTGAGAATCTCCCATCAAAAGTCAGAACAAATGGTTTGGTTTTGATAAAAGTAATCTGGAGTCATTGCACATGTGTCTAATAACTGCTGATTTATAAGAGTCAAGTTATGAAGCTTTAATAAATGCATATTTCTTTAGACAGTGCTGTAGTATGTTACTAACTGGGAATACTACATTGATTTGCTTAATTTCTGTATATTTTCCCCCTTAGATACATAGTAGCAAGTGAAAATGTTCAGTTTCTCAAATGGAAGTCAGTTCAAAGAAACATCTAAATGTTGAAAAATTTCTCTGACTCCTCTGATTCCACAAAATTGTTTTGGAAATCTTTCAAGGATTGGCTTTCTTCACTCGAAGCACTCGCTGAGAAACTTTTCATTCAACGACATTACTGTCCACTTGGATAGTTCTTCACCCAAGCCTGGGGAGTTATTTCTTGTCTGTTACAGCAAGTGACTAGTTTTGAATGACATCTATTGGTTAGTACCAGTAGCGGCATTTACATTGGAGACTAGAGGAACTATTGCTTATAAAGGAAGAGAATTGAAAATTGGCATGCTAAAGGCAAACCGATGAGGCAATTCAGCTCAGTGGGAACGGTGACATCTACAAAGGTCAATGGGATGAGATGTAAGGACAGAGGAGAGAAGACAAGAATGGATGAATGCATAGCTCTTTGAATGGTCTTTGATCCCCTGTTTTCCCTCCGTATGGTCATTAGTAGAGGAGCTGGGTCTATGAACAGTTTTATAATATGCCTGGGAGTGATCAGAGATTGAATTTAGGCCCTTTTTGGGACATACATGGATTTTAATGAATCCTCTCATTTTGTGTGCGTATATCTTTTTTAATTAAAAACAGTCTCCACATTGCTAATAGCAGTAATGGATGTTCACTGTCTTTAGTTATAAAACTTGTTAACTGTCCCCATGGAAACTTCCAAGGCACTGAACAGCAAGTGAAACATGCAGACACGTCCAACTATTAACTCATTTTTCTGCACTAGAACTGGAGATAATTGCCTTTCTTTCTCTGTTTAGCACTTTCAGACCATGTTAAAGACTAAGTTGAATGTCCTAACTCTTCGGAAAGAGCCACTCCCGACAGTGATCTTCCACGAACCAGAAGCCATTGAGCTGTGCACCACAACCCCCCTCATGAAGACCCGGACTCACACTGGATGCAAGGTACTCGGGAGTATAAACTTAAGGAATGAGACCGCTGTGGAGGTGTCCCATGTCTGTGTGAGGACTCTAAAGAGCCCAAAGTAACCAACATGCTCGTCGTTGTTCTGGAAACCCCATTAACTGCTACTATTACTATGAAGTTTGTAAATCAAAAAAGTCATTGGGCATTTCTGACCAGAAGTTTTGGGCTTCAGGAAAAAACGGTTTGGGTTGTGTGGCACAATGCAAATTGTGGAGGATTTCTAACAGCCTGCAATGAACATCTCTCGTTTTAAACCCTGCCATTGTTTCTGTAAGTGCTGGTGCTGAGATGGGAGATGAAGGGCCAAATGCTGTGTATTTGCATTTAGCAATCTGTACTAACAGAGGTATATACCTACTGAAATAGGGTTGCAGCTTAAAACTTGAAGTTAGTTGGATTTTTTTGGTTTTGTTTTTTTTTTTTTTTAAGAGAGGAAAAAATCAGAAAACGGGGTGGGGAGGAGACAGATCTTGATTGGGTTAAGCAACAAGATGAATTTGCCCAGTTACATCAAAGCACAGCTTCTGAAAAAGCTCTTTAATGTTTAATGGTTTAAGAGCTTCGAGTGTGTTCTTCTGTGGTAAGAAACCATATAAAAATAGCAAACAAATCTGCTCTGTTTGCATCTTCTGTTGGAGCCATTTTCCTTGGTTGCAGAGCTTGCCTAGCCTTGCAGAGCCATGCGCAGCCTTGCAGACTGAGCTGGGTACCAGTTTGGCCTGTGCTGCCAGCTGGGACTCGGTAGCCAAGTCCCCTTCACCCATCCCGGCTGTCAGTTGTAGGGAGTATCCACCTGCCCTCGAGGGTCTTGGTGAAAATGGAGAGAACTGGGCTTCAGCCTCCACTGCTCTTTAAAGTGTCAGCTCTAAAAGAGCCATTGCCTGTTGCTACATGTACTGGATAAGGCCCAAAGTGCAATTAAATGTCCTAACCCCCTCCTCTGCCAGTGTGTATACGCACACGTGTGCGCACACACTCTTCCTTGTTGGAGGATCTCATGTGAGTGAGATGGGGTTGGAAGAAATTGCTTCCTGGTGTGTTCCCCTGCTTCTCTTGGTATACTGTGCAGATGGCACGGGCTCGGGGCATGCTGTGAAGGGCTTTGCTTGGGCACCTCCAGGTCTGGCACTTCCTTAGCAAAGTTTTTTCTTGGGAAGTGTCATTTTTTTTTTTATTTTTTTGCCTCTCGCAATAGCCAAGAAACAAGACCGCTGCTGGGTGTTGAAGCAGCGCTGCGCTGCGCTGACATAGGGTCACTTGCCCTGCATTCCTCTAACATGCTTTGTATGGTAGCTCGTAGCATCTGCTCTTCCACGGTGATGTCTTTTTGTCCTCTATGTTGACATCTAATGAATTTGTAGAGAATATTAGCTATCATAAAAATGGTTCGCAAAGTATCTGGCTTTCACCCCTAGTGAGAGAGAGTTCAGACATAATAATGCTTTCTGAAATCAGTTTATCTCTGTGAACGTGTGTAGAATTTAAATGAACCTTTTTACTTAACTTACAGTCCTTCAACTGGAAAAAATGGATTGCAGAGAGATGTTGAACCTCTCAGTGAAGAGAATCTCATCCTATATTTAGAGATCTCTTTTATTTATTCATTTATTTTTCCTGCAATATAACATAGCGGTGACTAGGGAACATCTGCTGCAACAATGCCCCCCTTTTCCTGCTTGCACTGTTTCTCCTTCTCCCCTTGCCCCTGTAGCTAGTTCCCCTCCTGCCAGTGCTGGAGTCTTATAGTGGTGTTTTTGGGGTGGTGGCCAGCCCCTCTTCAGATGATTCAGCAGTTGTGTTTTCCAGCACCCCTCTTGGGCAGATGATTCCACATATATCTTGTTCCTACGGCTAAGAAATCCTCTCCAGTCATTAATTGACAGGCTCTGATTTTACCCAGTCTCTCTAGTGACAATCTCTTCTTTTTTCCCTCTCTTTTTTTCTGACTACGTGTATTCTTCTCTTACGGAGCTTGTATCCTCCAGCTGTTTATAGCTAATTAGCCTTCCTCTCCTCTTTCCCCTCTAATTATTAGTTTCTTGCTGAGTGATACTATAATAGTGTTGCCATAACAAAGCCAGTACTTTATAATACAAATTTTCGCTCTCTGGGGTCTGATCTATCACTGTTACTCCAGGGGTAAGCGGAGCGATGCTGTGGTGTCGCTGGTACCACCAAGCCTCTCTGGTTCTGAGACGGGGGCTTTTCAGGCAAGAGCACAGCATCCATTTTTTACTTTCTTTCATGAGTCACACTCTTTTGATCCTTAATCGTTTTATTCCTCTTGACTGAAATCCCTCCAATTTTTCTATGTAATCCTATTAATGAGATAGCATCATTCTTCTGACAGAGGCTCCAGTCATCTAATTTTATTGCACAGTTTTAACATAAGCCTCAGCTGGCACCATCTTGTTATGGGAACTTGACAGATGCAATTGCTTTGCTGTTCAGAGGTCTGGGCATTGGTTTTCTTATGCGATTGTTCTTTTCCTTGTCCTTTCATCGCAAGACAGGCTTCTCTTTTCTCTTTCATTCCGGGTTAGCTGCTGAATCCTGAAAAAACAAACCTTTTCTGCTGAGATCCAATCTCATTCTGTAATTGAATGGGATGGCTTTAAGAATAGCAGAGAAATGTCTTGCTTGAAGTACTCTAGGGGGAACCCCCACAAGATCTGGAAAGTTTAAATAATTGAACAAATTCGGAGAACTTTTCTCTTTCCTGCCCAATTCCAGACCTGATGCAACTTTGTTGCCATCGTGTTTTCTAAAATATATTTTTTACTTACAGCAGAAGGCTTAAGACTCGTTCCTCCTGTTACTGCACATCTACACCTACCTGCCTGGGCTGGCTGTGCTGTTGCCTTTCCCACCCTTCTAGACTCGTGGGCATGATTTCACCAAACGGGAGAAATAGTAGTTGCATTGATTGGCAGCACAGAGCTTCAGGCGCACATGTTTTGGAGTTTGTGGTGCCAGTTGCTCAGTGAGACAGGGGTTGACTGGGAGGCTGTAGTTCCCAAAGGGCACCTTCTTGCCCCCCATCCCCTCCTTTCCCCACCAGTCCTGTTTGCAAATGGGGGGCGACAGCCCTGCGCCCTGGGGTTGGACTGTCGCAGCCCCACTCAGCAGACAGCATAAAACAGAGCAGGATTTCTGGGTACAATAAAGCACTTGGACTCTGGGTTTTTCCTGGGGGGGTTGTTTGCTTTCATTTGAGCCGTGGCATATGTTAGGTGAGAGGCAGGTCTCTGGCCCCAGAGGAACCACAGCTTCTTGTCCTCCTCCAGCTGAGACTGTCGGGGCAGGGCGGTGGGATGCAGTGCCCAGAGGGTTGTCATCTCTCTGGCAGCCGTGGTTGAGCAGCCACGTGCGTCCTGCCTCTTCCTGCGACGGACGTGGCGTTTGTGTATGCTGGAGCACCGAGTGTTAAGGTCAGTAGCTGCTCCGAAGAATGAAAAAAGCCAACTGGCTTATTGTATACCTGTAAATGGCAAGTCTCAGCTTAAGCTAAACCACCCTGTGCTGGGGAAGGACAAAAAAGAGTGAGAATAAGACTTTTGTTCTTCCTAGCTGGACCACACTTTCAATCACAGGTTCCTAATTTGCTTTTATTTAAATAGAGCATGTTTCTGTATACAGGCATGAATGTGATTTAGATGCATGTATATAAAGATGTGTCCACCCTTGTTCAGATCCTAAGGATTTTGATTAGACTGTGGCTGTCCTGCTTGTAGGTCTTTCATGTCAGATGTTGTGCACTCTTGTGTTTCAGCTGGAAACCTCCTCTTCCCTTATCACAACACTAAGTACCACCAGATGGAAACTGAAAAATCTGGAGTATCTCCAGAAAATAAGTTGCTTTCTACTCAGAAATGCGTGCTTTCTCTGTGCCTTTTAACAGATTTTGTTTAAGTTCTGTGTTTAAGTGTTTTATTCTTCCTTAATGTCTTAATCGGCTTACACTGATTCTAATGTTTCTTGATTTCTGTCCCTTTAAGCTATGGTGGTGGCATGAAGGGAACTGCCTAAATGACTCTCTTTCTTCTGCTGTAGCTTTTCCAGCACTGCTGCAGTAACGCAAAAGGACAGAGGTTAAAGATGCTGCCTGCGATTTTTGAAGTGGTGTCGTAGGTTTAACTTTTTTTTTCTTTTTATTGGAAGGCTCTTCAAAGTGAAGTCAGTGCTGAATAATCTGTAGGTTGTTGTTATCCACCTGGGTCAGGCGATCTTATTCCTCCAGTTCCCACCAGTGGACAAGGTTTTCTCCGCAGCCTGGGAGGCTGAGATGAGAGGAGCATAAACAGTGCAAATAATTGCATTCTTAAAAGTATGCTTTTATTAAATGGGAAAATATGTATTAATGGTATGGCATTTACAGGCATGATACTCGTTGCTTGCCTGTCTTATTGGATTGAGTTGGTGAGATTATTAATGCAGGCTTTGTGGAAGGTATGATGTTGAAATTTCTGCGATGACGTATCCTAGTTGAAGATTGACGAAAGTCTTGTTTAGCAATTTGTATAAATGGTGTTAGAGTGGTACTGGCGTTCTAAAATCGTCTTGCACCTATCGATAGAGATTTAAAAAACAGCCAAGAAGTAATATAAGTAACTGGAACTTGGGCTTTCAGAATAGCTTAATTGCTTCACTCACGAGGCAAAAAGAAAATGGTTCCTGTACTAACCTTGCTGGAGGGTGGTGATTACGGTGGGGTTTATTTGGTGCCTGTATAGCAGGAAGGGGCCATGGCCACAGCTGGGCTTCCCTGGCACAGTGCAGTGTCAGCAGTTAGGCACCGAGCTTGACTGTTGCAACTCCGGGACGCACCTGATGTTTCTACACTTGTGTCAACCTATTAACTGGATCTGAGGTGTTTTCTGGGGGAGCTTGGCAGTGCCTGAGGGGCCTTAACCTGTGCAATGCCAAGGGCATCCTGCAGCCCGCCCTCCACCTGCAGCTCCGTGCCCTTTCACCAAAG